TACCAAGCTTCATTCGTCCTTACTAGATGGGTAAAAGCAGCAGACTGTGTACCAAGCTTCATCCATCCTCCCTATCTTGGTACAAGCAGCGGTCTCTGTACCTATCCTTATCCTTCCTTACTAGTTTGATATAAGCAGCAGATTGTGTACCAAGCTTCATCCATCCTCACTAGCTTGATACACACAGTGGACTGTGTACCAAGCTTTACCCATTCTCACTGGCTCGTTACACGCAGCAGACTATGTACCAAGCTTCATCCATCCTTACTAGCTTGATACAAGCAGCAGGACGTTTACCAAGCTTCGTTCATCCTCACTAGATTGGTACAAGCAGCTGATTGTGTACCAAGCTTCATCCATCCTCACTAGATGGGAAAAAGCAGCAGACTGTGTACGAAGCTTCATCCACCCTCACTAGCTTCGTACAAGCAGCGGACTGTGTACCAATTTTCACCCATCCTCACTAGTTTGATGTAAGCAGCAGATTTTGTACCAAGCTTCATCCATCCTCACTAGCTTGATACAAGCTGCAGACTGTGTAGCAAGTTTCATCCATCCTCGCTTGTTTGATATAAGCAGAAGATTGTGTACCAAGCTTAAACCATCCTCACTAGCTTGATACAAACAGCAGTCTGTATACCAAGCTTCATTCATCCTCACTAGCTTTGTACAAACAGCAAACTCTGTACCAAGCTTCACCCATTCCCTAGTTTGGTACAAGCAGCGGACTGTGTACCAAGCTTCATCAATCCTCACTAGCTTGATACAAGCAGCAGACTGTATACCAAGCTTCAACCATCCTCACTAGCTTCACAAAAGCACCAGGCTCTGTACAAAGCTTCATCAATCCTCACTAGCTTGGTACGAACAGCGGAATGTGTACCAAGCTTCATCCCTCCTCACTAGCTTGGAACAATCAGCAGACTGTGTACCAAGCTTCAATCATCCTCACTAGCTCGATATATGCAGCAGGCTGTGTATCAATCTTCATCCATCCTTACTAGATGTGTAAAAGCAGCACACTGTGTTCCAAGCTTCATCCTCTCTAGCTTGGTACAAGCAGCGGACTGTGTACCAAACTTCATTCCTCACAAGATGGGTAAGAGCAGCAGGCTGTGTAGCAAACTTCATTCATCCTCACTAGCTTGGTACAAGCAGCAGACTGTGTACCAGCTTCATCCATCCTCATTAGCTTGATACAAGCAGCAGATTGTCTTCCAAGCATGATCCACCCTCAGTAGCATGCAGCTGACTGTGTAGGAAGCTTCATCCATGTTCACTAGCTTGGTACAAGCAGCAGACTGTGTACCAAGCTTCATTCATTCCACTAGCTTGATACAAGCAACAGGCTGTGTACCAAGCTTCATCCACCCTCAATAGATGGGTAAAAACAGCAGATTGTGTACCAAGCTTCATCCATCCTCACTAGCTTGGTACAAGCAGCAGACTGTCTACCAAGCTTCATCCATCCTCACTAGCTTGGTACAAGCAGCAAACTGTCTACCAAGCTTCATCCATCCTCACTAGTTTGATACAAGATGGAGACTGTGTACCAAGCTTCATCCTTCCTCACTAGCTTGATACAAGCAGCAGACTGGGCATCAAGCTTCATCCATCCTTACTTGCTTGATACAAGCAGCAGACTGTGTACCAAGCATCATCCATCCTCACTCGCTTGGTACAAGCAGCACACTGTGTACCAAGCTTCAGCCATCATCAGTAGCTTGACAGAAGCAGCAGACTGTGCACCAAGCTTCATCCATCCTTACTTGCTTGATACAAGCAGCATATTGTGTACCAAGCTTCATCCATCTTCACTTGCTTGATGCACACAGTGGACTGTGTACTATGCTTCATCCATCCTCTCTAGCTTGGTACAAGCAGCAGACTGTGTACCAAGCTTCACCCATTCTCACTAACTTGGTACAAGCAGCAGACTGTGTACCAATCTTCATCCACCCTCACTAGCTTCATACAAGCAGAAGGCTGTGTACCAAGCTTCAAGCATCCTCACTAGCTTGATACAATCAGCAGACTGTGTATCAAGCTTCAACCATCCTCATTAGCTTGATACAAGCAGCAGACTGTGTACCAAGCTTCAACCATACTCACTATCTTAATGCAAGCAGCAGATTGTGTTCCAAGCTTCGATCATGCTCTCTAGCTTGATGCATGCAGAAGACTGTGTTCCAAGCTTCAACTATCCTCACTAGCTTGATAGAAGCAGCAGACTGTGTACCAAGCTTCAAACATCCTCACTAGCTTGATACAAGCAGCAGACTCTGTGTACCAAGCTTCAACCATCCTCACTAGCTTTATAGAAGCAGCAGACTGTGTACCAAGCTTCAACCATCCTCACTAGCTTTATAGAAGCAGCAGACTGTGTACCAAGCTTCAACCATCCTAACTTTATTATCTACCTGGGATTCTCAAGTCTAATGTCTCTTAGCCATCCTATTTTACTTCATACTCTCTAAATATCCAAACCTCCTCAACAATCCTCCTCAACTCTCTGAATAATACTGTTGGAAGCTCCACACCTCATGTCTCATTCAAACATCTACGTCTAAGTCCACTTCCTAATATCTGAACACTTTTAATTCCTCAATACTCTTTCCCTATAATATTATCACTGCAAATATTGTTTGATGCTCTCGTCACTTTCTCTTTCCCATGTTTATTTTTAATTTCCTTCTTTTACATACTCTCTTAAATTTGATTTCCAACCATTTGCAAATTTCTCTACCTAATCTCCCAGAAGAACTGTGTCAACTGGAATATATAACAACGGTGACGACTCCCACTCCATACCAGATTCACTATCATAATCCCACACTTCTTCTTACTACTCTAGTGTTCACATCCTTAACAACCCAATCAATAAATATATTAAGCAACCATTGTAGCATCACACATCCCTAAGACTTTCTTTAATTCGAGAATGTTTCCCACGCCTCGTACTTACCCCTAATCTGCCCAGCGCTATCCTCATAAATGTTCTTTACATAAGAATGTAAGATAAAGGAGCACTCCACCAGGACTACTGGCCCATGCTAGGCAGGTCCAATTCACATCAACTTACATTCATTCATGTACATGTCTAACCTATTTTTAAAGCTACTCAAGTTTTAATGATGTTACTCGAAGTCTGTTCCACTCATCCAATATTTTTCTATATCCTATCTAAATCAAAATTTTGCCTACTTGATCCCATTGCTATGAACTCTAGCTTGGTTAGATATTTTTAACACGTTATTTACATCCCCTTTATTTATTCATGTTTGCCATTCAATATCCCCCGTAATTCTACGCCTTTCTACAGAGTATAGACTCAGGGTTCTCAGTCTATCCTCATAGGGAAGATTTCTATTATATGGGATCATCTGTCATCCTTCTTTGTACGTTTTTCAACGAATTTACATCCATTCTGTAAAACGGTGACCAGGACTGTGAAGCATAATCTAAATGAGGCCTAACCAAAGATATATTGAGTTGAAGAACAACCTGAAGACTTTTGTTATTCATATTTCATGATGTGAAATCAAGAATTCTATTTGCTTCATTGCTAACACTTACGCAATGTTGTTCGCGTTAAGAGTGATTAAGATCTGCTTTATTTAGTTTATAAGGGCTGTGGGTATTTTCTTTTTCAACGCTTAGAACTTTGCATTTGTCTATATTAAACAGCATCTGTCAGTTCTTGACTACTTCATCAATCTATTCAGATGTTCCTGTAGTTCTCGTGTCCTCGTCAGAATTAATCCGAATGCCTATTCTAGAGTCATTGGCACGTATGCCTTTACTTTCCTCAATAATCTCCGAAGTGGATCTCTATCAGTTTCCTTAATGACTTCCATATACACATCATATTCATTACCATGATCTCCTTCCTAAAATATCTTGATAATCTTCCACCTATTCCAAAAATTGCACCATCTGCCACATTGCTTCCCAATCCACCCTGTTATGTGCCTTTTCTAAATGAATGCAATCAAAAGTTGCTTACTTATATCTAAGTACTCTTCACATATGTGCTTCAATACAAACACCTGGTCTACACATCACATACCAAAACCTCATTGCTCCTCTGCAGTCCTGTAAATTTTCTTGTTCATAATTCATTGAATAATTCAACCATACCGGCTCATTCCCATATAATGCTTACACTCAGTTTTATCCCCTTATAACTTACACCAAAGAACTATGCATGCTCTCTGTCAGTTTCTATGTACCTTTCTGTCATGCATATAATGAATAAAGGAACCAACCACTCCAAAACTATATCCCCACCAGCTTTTAACAGTTATGTGTTTTCACTCTTTCCACTGACTTCCTTTCCCCAGCTTCACATCAACCTATTAATCACTCCTAAAATTAGTTGTACCTCCCTGTTCAACGCAAGAAGTCAGTACCTTCCTCTCTTCATCATTCAACAATTCCACAAAATATTCCCTCCATCTTTCAAATACCTCTACTTCCTCCTCTAATGGCTCCCCTTTTTTTAAACTTTAAATCCGTTTGTTCCCTAGGATTTCCCAGCACTGCAAAAACGTTTTTTATTCTCATTACAATTTGTTGATAAAACCTGGTCCATTCTCATATGAACTCTCCATTTGTACTCAAAGCTCTTTTAACCTCTCTTTTGCTCTCCATATAATCCTTTCCCCATATATCGCTTCTACGTTGTAGAAACCTTTCATAAACCCACTTTCTCTCCCTTACCACCCTCTTTATCTCATCATTACGTCAGTCCCGCCTCTTCCCTCCTGCACCCACCCTTCCATACAACAAACTTGTGAATATTACTCAAACACTTCAGGAATTAGTCAACAAACAGAGACATTAGAAGGAATGCTAAAATTAAGACTGATGTGCTAAGATTAATTGCATGTACAGGAAACAGATATTGCAGTAACAGAAACCTGGTTGAGCCTGAATGATAGAGAAATGTCTTTTTAAATGCCACATATAAGACTATTAAAATTATTCCATACCAATAGGGTCAACATGAAGGACGCTGAAGTGGCGGTGTATGTCGGAGATAATTTCAACTGTTGCACGAGACAAGATATACTGCAAAAGTGGAAGCTACGGACACTATTTGACTATAGTTTCTCGAGTGACATGGAAAGCTAATTCTGGGTGTAATTTACATACCCCTAAACCTAGACAGGAATACAATAAACCTCTGTAGAATGAAATCACTAAGGCATCTAGATACGAATATTTTTTAACTGATTCTTATATGACTATACCCACCTATCCTCCCAAGAAACTAATCATGCACAAATTTCAGCTTCGATGACTCTCTAGAATCACTGTTCTAGCACACTGTGCGACCTTAGATCAAAGTATACTATTACACGGAATATCTACTCTGATAGCAGTGAGAGCTGCATTAGAATTAAAAACCGGGCTTCCACCCTACAAACTAAGCTAATTTACATACTCGTTGTTCTCAAGCTTTGGGAAACTACGGCTGCACACTGTGTAATTTACTCGCTTTCCTCATTCCTATCCCTTAAGGAAGGTTCCATGATGTTGGTGAGGGACTCTTGATTTAGGGAATTGGATCTGTGCTCCAGTTCCCCAAATTAAGCCTGAATGCCTTCCACATCCCCCCCCAGGCGCTGTATAATCCTCCGGGTTTAGCGCTTCCCCCTTGATTGTAATAATAATAATCCTCATTCCTTGTTCTAAATAAGCTGAGACCTGAATGTAGCGTTATTGTATATGAAGCTAGGCACAGATATACACAAATTAGTCCAAGAGGAATCACAGTTAAGCTTTTTCTGACTTTGCTCACTGTAAATAAAGCTAATATTTGAATTAATAACTCATTGCAGTTGTGATCAGGTGTAGACCTGTGAATTGTTCATTAACTTGTTCAGCTACCAAAACTTTGGGGCCCAGTCCTTGGACCCATTATGTACTTCTGTAATCTCTTTAACTACCACCCACAGGATGGGTATGGGGAGCATAATAAACATCTTAACCTAATATAGGCTTCCAGGAGCATGACAAAGTTGATGAATTAGCTAAAGAAGCATTAAATAAAGAGAATCCTGAGTATAACTGTTTTTCTCAAACAGTTATGACAGAACCAGCTGCAGGAAATAACCTATTTTACTTTTTTTTTTTCTAGCAAGAAATCTCTATTTCATAATCTTGAGGTTAACGATGAGCTGTGAGGCAATGATCACAAATCACTCAGTTTCAATATATCATGGAATTACTAGTGTGAGGTAACAGGTGGTTCTCCTGTTAAGTAGATAAGTGAAGATGGTTGCCAACATGATGTTGTTTAAAGCATAATTCAAGCTGCCCTGGACACCTATGTTACAGATGGGGAAATTAGAACAAACGAAAAGAGGCGAGGGAAGCTTAAGAAATTATTATATTAAAGAGAAATTAAATAAGGAATAAGAAAAGCCAAAAGAAATCATAAATTAAAATCAAAATCCAATCCAAAAGCGAAATTGACAGGACCTCTTAAGAGTTGTTTAGGTGAGCTAACTGTCAGTGACAAAGAAATGTATACCTACTTTAGCATTTATTTCCTCTCAACTGTCATGCAGGAAGATACTAGGGAAATTCCAAATAAAAAAAGATAGGTCGAAGCCACCTTGAAAAATATTAATTGATCAATGAATCTCAGGAAGGTTTACAAAAAGGAGTTGTTGTCTGATGGATTAATTTTTCACTAATATTTGTATGGTTGGATCATGATGTAAAGTATGATACTTTGTTTATGGATTTTAATAGGTTCTTTGTTTGAGGCACTCGGAATTGGAGGAGAATTTTTATCTGGATCGAGGGGTAGTTGATCTAAAGGTAATAGAGAGCTTCCATGAGTGAGGAGAAATCAGAGCGAGGACGCGTCACAAGTGGTGTTCTACAGGGATCAGTACTGGGCCCTTTGTTGTTCACAATATACATAAATGATGAGGCAATAAATAGTTTCATAAGCAAGTTTGCCAATGACAGTACAGCAAAATAAGCCGTCAGATTAATTCTGATGGCAGTAAAGCGTTCTAGGAAGATCTGGATAGGTCGATGCTGTGGTCGGAGAAGTGGCAGATGCAGTTTAATGTAAACATATACAAGATTCTAAGCCTGGGAAACTTGAACAACCATGGCACTTTTAAACTGAAAAATTTTAGTTAGCGGCGATCTAAAAGTCAGGGAACAGTGCAGAAGCGTTCAGAATAAAGCTAGTTGAATTTTTGGCTTCAATGAAGCATAAATAATAGAAGTATAAATAATATATTATGTCCTCAGGTTATAGTTATAAGCCTCTTCAAGGGGGGCTCCTTGGCGTGGTGAAGAGGCTCTTGGTCTGAGGAATTAGCCCTGTCGGTCTTCTTCCTCAGACCGAACCTAATTACCCCCCATTCTCCCCTCCCCTATCCCATCCTCCCCATCCTCCCCTTTTTCCATTCCTCCTCCTCCTCCTCACCCCTCCCTTTTGCCCTTCCTCTTTTTAGCCTTCGTGATTTCTCCCACAGGCGCGCTAGTTCCTAGGTAGGGGAAAGGACACCGGGGTCCATCCCATTCCGTTGAGATTTCTTGGCGGTGGCGTAGTTTGCCGTGGAATCTGGATTGCCTAGGGATGTCCCGATCCCTCTCCGGTATCCCGGAGTAAGCTTCGGGTGTCTTTTTGGGCGACGGGTGTATCTCTGGAAGCCACCTTTCGGATTCCGGGGTGGTGGCTGAAGGAGGTATGCTTTGTGGCGGATATCCGGCCGCCCTCTCTTTTGTCCACCGAGGTAGCTCGCAGATGTGAGTTGCTATCCCGGATTGCTGTTTACTGGCATGAAGGGTAGGGTATGGCACGGGTTCCATGCTGCATCTGCGCTACTAGCGGTTTTCGAGTCCTCTTGGGCGCGGAGGGGATTCGGCCCCTTTTTTCCTCCGGGAACTATCCTCCCCGTCCCCC